GGGGGGGGGGGGGGGGGGGGGGTTGAAAGTTGGCAGGAAAGTATCGACGGGTTGGCGGGAACCCCAATGATGACGCCGGGGAGGACAAAGTTCGCCGGGCTGCCGCGTGACACAATGAAAAATTAGAGTCGTGCGGAAGGGAAGAGGGTACCGTTTATCGTTATTACCGCGGCGCGGACGGAATAATTCTTTCGGGCTCGCAGACACGTGATAGCGTCCGAGCCGCGCCGCCAGATAAGAGGATAACTTACGAAAAATGTCGAGGCGAGTCGGAGTCTTAAACTCTCATATTTCAAATCTTACCACATGACTCGCCGGCGTACCCGTTAGATCCCTTCGACCTTTTTTGCATCTGTCGACAGGCGTAACATCACGCCCGATCGATTCCCCCCCGGGAATTGGTGACGCAGCGAAGAAAACTCGACGAAAGCTCGCGAGCGAGCTTGATCGGAGCCGTTTTCGACGCTATCGTTTTCCCGCGATTCGACGATTTCAAGTCACACCTGGCAAGGCATGCGGGGGGTAACGACGTTATACTACACCCCGAAAAGGCCGATTTGTCGGGATTTAACGCTCTCCAAATTTCTCAGAGTGAAATGTCCTGGCCCCCCTTGAAACGAATGGAAATTCACTCGAAAACTGTCACTCGACTCCCCGAGTGGGATTTCGCTGGAAAACAATTTAAAGAGCATAATCTTCGCTCCGAAATAAAACTCTGCAATCATTCATCGCAGTCCCGTCATTATAATTCCCTCTTGCTTCTCGGATTTATTATAATGTCCGATTTGGAATTTTTACATCTTGACGTACATTTCTGCTTTCATTTTTGTTCTATCTTATGTTACCTTCATGTTAGGCCGAGCCTGGTAACAACATTTAGTTTCGTCACTTTCGAGTTATTATTCAAACTATAATAACATATAACGATAATATATAATGATGATAATAATAATTATTAATTATTTGTAATCATAATAATAATTCCGTAATGTGGACTTCGGCTTTAATCGTATCGAGAGGAGAGCGTATTATCTCGAAATTCAGCGAAACATGACCGGCCGTTGCGGGCTACTATACGTCGCCGTATTACGCGTCACGCACGTGGAAACGTAAGCCAACCCCAATAATACCTCGGAACCTCCAAACATCCCCCATAAGTCATGTGACGCGTTCGACCTCCCCGCCAGTCCCATCGGAGCAACGTGCGTGCCTGTCTGAGACTATTTCCGGCTATCTCACGATAGCTCATGGCCGAAATCACTCGCCCGATATTTCCCTTATTCCGAGAAGCAGGCACGACGACGACGATGATCCCGGGCGACCGGTGATCGCGACAACTTCGGGCGAACGATAAAGATAAACCGGCCGGAACTCGCCGAGTCACCCACCAATGTAATCCTCCGTCGCCTTTAACGGATCCTTCCACCTATTTACGCGGGCAAACCATCGGCGAGCGGAAGAGTCTATCGCGCTTTCACGGAGAGAACGACGCGGAAATTTCGCGGTCGTCACGGGCCGCTTGTCGAGGAGTCCGGTGAGTTAGTGGGGGCCTTGTAAGTCGTCGCAGACTACGAAATAATTCAACCCGAATGTGAAAGTGGAAGATGAGAAATTCTCATTAAGACCCGGGAATTGAAATTTTCGTCCTATGTCAAGCTTGGAATTTTACAACACAGTGGGAGGTAACGTAGCGAAATGAGTTCAGTTTCAATTTTAATAATACGATTTACTTCTACTTTGGCTCAGATGATGCCTTCGAATTTCATGTGGTAGACGCCGGGACATAAATATAGTTATTTTCGGGGACAGCAGTATCCTTCGTTCATCTCAACCACAAAAATAGTCAAGAGAACTATTTTTTTATTAAGTGTTACTACAATGTTAGTGATCTTACACGCATACTGCTACTATTATTTTTGTTAAAATACAAAAAAGGATACTGTTGTCCGTGAAAATACGATATTTTTCTCTCGGTATATGTAATTAAGCGCGAACTATCCTTAGGAGCGGAGCGTCACTGTAATATCAAAATTTCGACTCAGGAAGAGTCTTCCGCTGACAATCTCTCTCCTTTGATCCTTTCGACGAGGACGGCGTTTTCGAAAGAATTATTCCCAGCGCTCGAGAAATCGCGCTGTCCTGAGTCTATCCCTTTTAAAAAATGCTCTCTCTCTCTCTCTCTCTCGAGCGCTCCGCGAGTTAAGCCGCCGCTATATCGCGAGACTTAACACGTTCCGTGCCACGGCAATTTTTGAAGATTTTCCATTCAGGCCGCGTGGGGCGTATACGACCCACACTTTAAAGATTAAAAAAAGTCGTAAACGTTGTATACGTGATGTGAAGTTGTCTATATTTGACTCTACAATAAATTTTTTAAGAATTCTTTGTTTTTCAATGAGAATTGCAAGTGGCCTGAACGGAAAGTGCAGCGGTGGCCGTATACGCCTCACATGGCACGGAACGTGTTAAAAGCACCTCGGGATTCGCTCGGCGTATCTTCCCCGAGCGGGCATCTCCAGAATAGATCAAAATGCGTAGATCGCTGGAAATTTACCGCCTTCATCACCGGCTGCTCTCTCAGCCCCCCTCCCGTGACCCCTCGCCGCCGAGGAAGAATTCGATAGCCAGGTTGCGGGTGCTGGATATAGACGAGCGCTCGTAACGCGCGTCCGGGAGTAAATGTCACGTGAATGAGGGAAGGCTCACCTTGGAGCGCGCGAACGACGAGCGAGCGACGTCGCGCGGTGGAATTTCCGCAAAGTCGTAAAGTCGACGCGCTCGACGAGGGAGGGGCGCGTACGCGGCGCGAAATCGCGTCCCGGCTCGGAATTGCCGCCAGCAGGCTCGGCATCTCCCGATATCTCGTCGAGTCGTCGCCCTCGCCGCGAATTTCCGTCGCGTGAGAGTTCGGGAAATCGCCCGACCGGTTTCCCCCCGGCCGGTCTTCCGCCATTTTTACTTCTTCTTTTATCGGTAGCTCGAGTCGAGACGAGTCCCGGGAATGGAGGATCGCCTGTCGGCGTCGCACTCGGAATATGAAGCAATTCTCGGTGAATAAGTAAATAAATAATCCCGAATAAAAGATGAAAAATTGCACGAGATGCGTTAATCAGACGGAAGTGGTTTTCGGCGAGGCCAAGCTCCTCCTCTCCCTCCGAGTCGTTATCCATCAGCGATATTCTCGCTCTAAATATTTGGAACAGCCGACCTTCGCTTCGAGACGTAAGACCTGCGCTTCCGCGACTGGATGCACGATATTTTATGAGATAAATGATTTACGCCGCTACTACTACCGCTCGTTTGGCATAGTTATATGTTCGGCCGGATTGACGTTTATCGCGGACATTCGTCCGTGAGAAATAGCGGAAAAGTATTTGTCACTTATGCGACTGCGAGCTCGCAGCCTTCGATATTAAAAGAATAGTTAGCGTCGTTAGAGTTGTAAAAGGAGCCTTCGATGACGCGTCGTCCCGTGTGGTTCTGTAATTTGGAAATTTCACAACCGTGCGGACGAATCTCGAGGTTTAAAGTAAGAAAGCAGAATTCTCGCCCGAGAAATTCACCAGGGATTTACGGCCTCGAGACTGTTGTTACGTCATTTATCCCCCGGTTCCCGGTGAGGAACCTGTCGCTCCGACGAACGCACCCGCATCCTCCGAGATACTCCGGCGCATCGATTCGCGATCTTTCGCCAATTTATACTCCCGGAATCTCGCGAGGATATCTGCGAGAACTAACGAGTCATTGTCGGTGTCGCGAGGAGTTCGTGCGTGAAGAGATTTCCGACAGGCGTCTGAAACTTTTCAGGCGGCGGGGGATACGAGCGGAGATCGAATGGCTGGCTGAAGTTTCAGCTTCGGTCGACGCCGTTAAAGAGGCGAACCGGCTTTTTCGTGGAAAAAAAAAAAGAAAGAAACAGAAAGAAAAGGTAACTTTCGTTGCGAAATGTCACTTACTCAGCATGCGAATGACGTTCCTCTGAGCCGCGGTCTTCCCTCGGCTGTCGAAGTGATTCAGACCACCCGGCACGTGTTTCCTCTTGACGGTGGCGGTCAACAACCTGGAGCGTCGCAGCTTGATGGCGATCAGCACGTACAGCACCGTGATGATCGTCATCGGCAACACGAAGAACAGTATAGTCGAGATCTCGAACGCGTACTCGATCAGCGTCCACCGGGTCGAGCATCTGGCGGTGTCCGGGATGTTGGTGCCGTTGTTGGTACTGTGGAAAGATTTCCAGGTGGACTCCCGAGGGAGTGGAAATCCATGGGGACTCACGTGAACCCATATAGGATATTCCGTATCCATATGGTAATCCACGTGGTGCGGGAAAATCTCCATGTAGAAATCTCCACGGGGTGCGTGAAGATCCATGTAGGAATCCACCTTGGAATTTTAGCCCGAAACCGCGGGACAACTGTTGGAATTTCGTATGGATTTCCTATATGGATCCCCACCTGTTATTTTTTCAACAAGGGGACGTACTCGTAAATGATGCCGAACTGGATCGCCTGCGGCACCGCGAGGCAGAGCGCCAACAGCCAGATCACCACGACGAACTTCACCGCCCTCGACAGCTTGGACATGGTGTGCGAGATGAAGGGGTGACAAATCGCCACGTACCTGTGAATAAAGAGAAGAAGGAATTTTAAGAAAGAAAAGAAGAAGAAGAAGAAGAAAAAAATAAAAGGACGAAGAGCTGAAAGAAGAAGGGACGGGAAGGAAGAAGAAGGTGACACGGGAAGAACGATCGGAAGAAGAAAGAACGAAGAGAAGAAAGGGGGGGGGGGAGAAACGGGAAGAAGACAAGGAGAGAGGAAGGAACCGGAAGAAAGAAGAAAAGCGGAAACGAGAGAGAATAAGAGAAAGAGAGACGTACGTTCGTCTCATCGACGCGTTGCTCTCGTCGTCGTCCATTTTCCGAATATATTCACTCAACAAATTCGCGCGCACGTAATCAATTTTGTGTGCATTCTGACAGAAATACCAGAACAAATTCACCCGGCGAATCGTATCCCATTGATCCTCACGTCGTGGGAGGTTCCGTGAGGGATTTAAATAGAAACACGTCATCGCGGTATCGGGAAGTATCATCCGGGGCGAAAATCGGATCGGTCGATATGGCATCGAACGCGTGCAACAGTTCGCAGGCATGAGAGCTCGCCTTGTTACCTCCCCCCATACTTTCGATCTTTCGATATTTGATCATCTACTTCTCCCATCTCTCATCCCTTCGCTCGATATTTCGCGTTTGTTTTCTCGCGAGACCGCGCGGATTCTCGCCCGGAGAATATTCCCGTGGGCTCCCCCGAGAGTCACCTCTCGACGGTGAAGGCCGTGATGGTGAGGACGGTTGCGTTGGCCGAGGTCTCCGCGGCGAAGCTCTGAATGATGCAGAACGCCTCGCCGAATATGTAGGGGAAGGGCAGCCATATGTAGTACATCTCCGAGGGCAGGCCGGACACCAGCAGGAGCAGATCCGACACGGCCAGGCTGAAGAGGTAGTAGTTGGTCGCAGTGTGCATGGACTTGTTGCGCGCGATCACCACGCACGTGGAGATGTTGCCGATCACGCCGGTGAAGAAGATCACCACGTAGATCACCGTGATCGGCAGCACGATGTAGAGCGGGTCCCGGCGTCTCAGCGCCTCGCGCAGGTGGGTGGAATTGTCCGCGTGGTGCCGCGGGACCGCGGCATCCTCGACGTCGCGAATCGTCAGCTCGAGAATCGGCAGGCCGAAGCCGGCCTTCGACGGCTCCCGGAGGATCACCGTCGCGGTGGCGTTCGCGATCGCCCCGGCGATCGTCATCATGCCGTGCCCTTTTTAGCGTTCCCCGGCGGAGGATCGGCGAGCGAACAGCGGCTACACTGCAAATTCCAAGCGCGCGGTAAATGCACACCTGTGTAATTCGTGACTTCCCATCGTAAAAATCGTCCGCGTTACTGCTGGCGCGTGTAGGAAGGAATTTGCAGAAATCTGTGTGCGAATGTGTAAGTGACACGCATTTCATTTGTACCCGGTAGAACGCGATGTACAAAGTGTGTAAAAATGAAGGGACTGTGATGACTGTTAATTGATGTGAGTAAAAAAATGTGTGTGGTCGGTCACGAAAAGTAACACTTTGCTTTAACTTCGTTGAAGACGAGTGTTTTGCAACGCATCTCGTGCGTCCAATAAGGAAAGTGTGTCTCCCGAGAAAATGACCGAGCACAATTCTCCCATCGCATGCGTACCGAAACTTCTGAAGAGAAGTCTCGCGACCTCTTCGCGACTGACCGTATCCAGAGAACATTAAGGCCGCGTTCTCTTCGGGGCTGTAAGAGTCATTCTGTCTTTATTGTTCATTAGGGAAGGAAGATAAAATGACGCCTACAGCGCGTGAGCGCGTAAAGAGTACGCTGTCCAAGACCATCCTAAGACGTCATAAAGACGTCTTCGTGAGAATAAGATGTCTGAACGACATTTTTATTATCCTGTATGGATGCACGCGAGCTCCGTCGGATGGATTCGTGGGAATCCATTTGGCAATGTTTAACAGGGATAAAACGACAAGATAACACGCGTGGAAAAATGGGTAAGAAAACGTGACGATTCTTCATACACGTGTCGGAGAGCGTGTAAGAATTACACACTTGGATTTGCGGTGCAGCGACGATTCCTGGTTCGCCGGTTTCGCGGGGATGTCGATGAGCGGCTCTTCATGCTCTTCGTTCCATTCTTCATTCGCGGCTTGGGATTCCTGCCGGATGCCTCGTCGCGCGCCGAGGATGCCGACGTCGGTCGACGAGTTTGTGTCTTCACCGGTGTCTTCGTTGGCTCGGAAGCCGTTCCACGATCATCACTTTCGCCGTCGTCGTCTCCGCGACGATTTGTCCTCGTAAACGCACTCACGACGTCGCCCGCCTCGGTGAGTTCGACGCCCCCGGAAAAATCCTCCGCCGCCGGTGATTTATGGCCGACGATGTTCTCAAATTCCGACACGGCACGTGGACATTTCGTCCTTCAGGTGTGTGTCAATGTTTCCCCAGAGATGAGAGATACGGTTACACGAGACTAGCCCTACATTGTTATTGTTTGCCTTCTTTCTCTCTCCGCAGCGTCGACCTGAAATCACACGAAAAGCCTCACGAATTTTTCCCGACGAAAATGGTCGATGCGTAATTCGCAAGAACGAGGAATGGCGAGAGGGGAGAAAGGGAAGGGGGAGAAAGCCGACCCGGCGAAATACACAACGGGACTCGAGTTTAATTAATTTAGACGAGTGCGATAAATTATCGGCCTCGTCTCGACGGTTTCACGACGGGACGACGACGGTGGTGGTGGTGGTGGTGGTTCGCGTTGGTTCCTACCAGTTGACGACGGCGTTCCACGCGGTGCGCGCGTCCTCCGGCGACGCTCGATTGATAACGGCAACCCGATTAATTTATGGTCAATTTACGCGGATTGAAGAGCCGCCTGTAAATTCGCCAATTCGAGAGCGCCGCGCGCACCGACGAGAGACGATATCGTCCTCCCCCCTGCCCCCCGCCATTCGATCGATCGTCATCGACGAGCGTCGTCCACGACGAACTTTCATCGTGCGTTCGCGTCGAAACGCGTCCTAAATGACCGTAAATGTGTCGACGAGCACCATCAGACGGTGACGAGAAGTTTCGTCCTCCTTCAAGGTCGACTCTCTTACTCGATCCGTCGAGACGTCGGCGGACGAGAGGAAGCCCCGTCGATGCTCCGTCGAAGTATTTTTATATTAATGCTTTTGGGACTTTCACAGCGTCATTCCGCCACCGTCACCCCGATGCAAAACCGTCGAAGAGTGTTTCGATACACACGCAGGACGACTGACGAAGGAAAGACGTTTGTTTGCCGCCGTCTAGACGGATATGAGAGCCGACCTTAAAGGGATCCCGAAGTCGGGCAGATTTCAGACGCGTTCACGGAGAAAAATAACTTCGGGGCGATCCTAAAATATTGAGCATAAATGCGTTAGGAAGTACCTCCGCGGGGCGGGGGGGGGACAGTTTGGCTAAATTAACGTGGCAGAGATGGAAATGAACGTTTTGCTCAGAGTAAACGGAATTTCTGGCTGTGAAACACGAATTTTCGCTCGTAAGAAGGAAAAATTCAATTTTCCAACTAAAACGCGTTCGGCTCGTCACTCGTTGACCCCACCGATCTGTCCTCCCCGCGAGGGAGACGATCAATTTTGCGCAGTCCTGGTGTAACAAATGAACAGACAGGGTGTTTCTTAAGTGCCGCCCGCTATCTTAGATGTTGACCTTTGAGGTCGTTCTATAAAGAAATTAACATAGTTTCACACGAACCTTCACGAAGGTTCTCAAAAATCGCAAAATATCGGACCTTAAGAAACATCGAGTATACTTGTTTATTTGCTACATTTATGGCCCAAAAAATTCCCCCTGAATTATATTTCTCCGCGGGGAAGGGGAGAGGGTCAATTGTTCCATCGGGCCAATTATACGCAATGACGAATCCTAATGTGGTCTTTGACGGAGATGCACCTGTGACGTCGGGGCTCCCGCGTCGCGATGGCTTCATTCATTACGAGCGCGGCGGCGTCCGCAGCGTTTCGCGCACGTGACCGTAATAATATAATAATAAACGCTTCTAAAAGCGAATGCGCGTCATTAACGATCGGCCGTGACGTCGGTTAACGAGCTAACGATGACCCAGCGAGACCCGTTGAAAGACGCGTCTCGAGTTATCACTCTCGAGGTATTTCTCTCTGTCTGTCTCTCTCTCTCTCTCTCTCGAGGTAAGCGATACCTCAGTACCTCGACAAACACACCCGCGCCTTTTTGTCCACCCCACGCATTCATAGTCCATCCGTGCCGTGACAAGGATATCACCGACCGTATTTACGCTAATCCGACGTCCCGCTACCTCTGGTCGACGATCCCCGAGACGCTGCACACAAAGAGAGAGAGAGAGAGAGAGAGAGAATCGACCCAGTCACTCGCTTCTCGTCATCCTTGGAAATGTCACGAGGAGAAAATGTCGCGCGTTTCCTCCGCGGCGGTTGACAAAGCGTCCTCGTGTAAAAATAACGGAAGTATGAAACGGTATCTGCTTCGCGCCCGAAATAAAATAATTCCAGGCTCCTCCGGGCGAAAATCGGACGGCGAAAATCTCTCTCCCTCGTCGCCCCCGCGGGATCATTTTTCCCTCCCTTCGCGAGTCCACCCGCGAGAGAGGTGCTTCGGATCACTCGGAGAGAGAGAGAGAGAGAGAGAGAGAGACTCTCCTCGAGATCGCAAGACGCGCGAATAAATATTTTTCCATCGATTTCGCTCGCCCGCGAAGAAGACACATGGCGTCGCTCGTACCTGCGATGATAAAATACACGTTTAACTTACCTCTCGTATTAATCTAATTTCCAGATTTCTTTCCCCCAACTTCCGATTCCCTCCTCCCGACTTGATCGACCCCAGAAGTTAATCCCGCATTTATCAATCCTACCAAAAAGTTACATATTATACCAACAGTTAAATTAATAATTTCAAATTCAATTCGACACGGTCAATTAAATTCACGCTGTACTTAATTAAATTAAGTCAAATCAAGGTAGACTTTTAACAAATGACGGAGGATTCTCCCCCGTGATTGCGGCGGGTCGAGCGGGTTTCGAGCGAGCTACATACCCGTGCGATCGTGTTAGCGATCGGAATTTCGCAATTTTGTGATAGAAAAATCCGAACGCTCGTCGGCCGACACACACACACCGACACACCGACATCCACATCGAACACACGTCGCGTTTGGTGCGCGAACCGACCGCGGCGGACGCTCGTCGTTTCGCGCGCTCGTCGGGAACAAACTGGACGGCCCCCCGGCTTCCAAAGCCGCAAACTACACCGCACCACCTTGCACCTCGCGGCCAGACACGTTTCTGTATGTGAGTGCGTTCCGGCTCGCGTAAGTCGGACCGCGAAAACCGCCCGGGCCGCCACGTGGAGTTTCGAATCCACCGTCTCCCCCGTCTTTCCGCGTCTTCGATGTCGCCGTCGACGGCGAGCGGCGCACGGCGAACGGAAACACATGGTGCTATTTTCATCGTCGCGTGTCGTCATCTCAGCCGACGACGGCAACGGCTAATTGTCCTCAATGGGCCGTTAACGCCTCTGTCGTTGCCGAAGAGAGTGGCGTCACCCGAGAACGTCGGCCGGCCGCAGTTGGATTCTTTTCCCCGCTGTTTCTTCCTACCTCCTACCGTTCCTCGACGCTTCTATTTTCTTTCCTTTCCTCTTTCCCCGTAATTCTCCACGCGATCTCACCTTGTCGACACGTCGTTCCGTCCCGAGCTAGCTGCATGCCGTGCGATCGTGTTAGCCGAGAGAGAAAACTCCATTAACGCGTCTTCTAATGACGACGAAAATTTCCAGTTAGACACATCATTCGAGCGCCGACGGCTTATTTATCACTTCTGTCGTCTCATTCCATCATTTATAATTTCCTTCGTTTCTCGCACACGTAGCGCACAGTTTTTACAGTCCCCCGCATAAGAACACCGATTAACCGACGGCGAGGAGTTGTGCAACACGCGCCTTCAATGCCTGCTATTATTCCCCCGTATTCACAGAAGCGTATTCACAAGTGCAACTTATTTATATTCCGCGGTCTAAACATCACAATTCTCTCCCATTTGACGTCCGATCCGGCACATTCTCTCGATAGTTTCCGCTCTGCCGCATCGGAGCTGACATTATAACAGCTGAACCTTACTTACCTTTATTCATTGCTTTTAATACTTTGGTAAATATCATACACGTTATATTATATTCATGATTTTCATTACGTGTCTGCGCCATTGTTTATTAACTTCGTTTATATAAGTCCTCGCTTCGTTATTTCATATACATTTGCTCGTACATTATCAAGTCACCTAGGAAAATATAGCTGTTGTTCCACCTTCTCGTCGCTACATAACGTTAATCATTTTCGATTTTATAATCTTCCGCGTCCGATGGCAAACCTTTTTTTCAAAAATTACCATTATCATCATTTCTGAATATTTCTGCGTGAAAACAGCTGCTTCGGAGCATCATTTAGCCGATTCGCTAAACGATCAATAGTCACGATGCGCGAATATTCGGACACGGTGCGCCTGATTAGAAATTGTCGATGTCACCATGTCTGGCGAGTGGGACCGCATTAATAATGGGGTCTTTTATACGCACGTGACGTTGGTGGCGAACGTATCGAGGAACCGGAACTGAACATTTCAAGGGAAAACGAACTCGGAGTGGATGGGCGTTTCACACATGTGCGACGCCGTGTGCGAACGTATATTAATCGGCAATGATGCGCAATTGGAGCACAATTGCGGCCGACTCGATATTATCGGCGGTGAGCGACAAAGTACGCGGTTGCACTTCGACGAGGCAACATAACGGGCGGTTATTCGGAGCGCAACGATTAATTCAGGAATGACGTAGAAACGAGACCGAAGCTGGAGCGCGACGCGTGATGGTATCACGCGGTGGCTCTCTGCCGGAGAGCGCTCAATGAGCCGGTCGGCGAGTTGATCTTTCAGTTGCGGAAGGCGTCCCTCGGCGAAATTCCGTCCGGCATCGCGATTCAATCGGCCGTCTGATCGAAGTCGCGTTATCATCGCCGGGATCATTTGTACGAACAACGGGAAACGTCGAAGGAGACGAGACGCTCCGACGCCGATCGACGTTCGGCCGAGTGTTGAGCATTGAAACTTTTCGCACGTGAGCCGAGCATCGAGAATAGACGCGCTCTCGACTACCGTAATCGTCGATCGATCGACCGGCCGGCCGATTACGGTAATGTTTACCGCGGAAATTGCAGTGCGTGATTAACAGCGCGACGATGGCGACCTCTTCTGCACCCCCTCCCCTCCTCCTCTTTCTTTCTCGCTTTAACGCTTAATTATAAAGCGTCGTGCACGGTGCATCCGTAACGCAATATACTTAATATAATAATTATACTGAATTATGTACAATACGTAATATAGTATAATGACTTTGCATAATTAACTCTTTACTTTAATAAGTTGATTTAATTTTAACTCAACTTCCGACCGAAAGTGAACTTTCCGTCAGGTAACTTTTAATTTAACTGGGCTGATTTGGCAGGCCGTTAATTTGTCACCTTTAACTTGGTCGTAAGTTAAAATCAACTTAACCATGATTACGACTGTTGAATTTTGAGAAGAATCGGCAACTCCGTCATATTAAATGCGACGTAATCCATACGGTGCATACATACATATATATATATATATATGCAACACTATTGCCGTTAAATTAAAAAAATGCTGCGTACAAAAGTGTTGCGTTAAAGAAATACGTAGATACGTCCGAGCGAAAACACCGTAATCGTAAGTGGGCGTTATTCGAGTCATGTGTATCTATCTGTCTCTCGTCTCTGTCCGCTCGAGAGTCCGACATCCACGAGGATCGTGGCTGCGATGCAAACGTGAAAGACCGTCGATGCTAAATTAGAATATCCCTACAAGGATCTCGTGAAGCGCGGATTTGTGAGATGCGCTATCGTCGATATAGTGCAGCTGCGCGATGACTCCGCGGGAGATAAAAAACGAACGGCCTCAACGCCGAGCTAACGCGGACTCTCGGCGCTCGTATTAATAGTCTTTACTTGGAACTTGTCTCAAGTGTGACAGTCAGACTTGACTTTGCAGCTTGGAGACGTGAGCTCTTCAGTGAAACCACGATTACAAATTCGTTAAATATATATCATATGATTCAACTTGTACTTAGGGGAGAGTCGCTTGATACTTTTAATACTAGTTAGACGCGACAGCCTTACCAGGTTTAGAAACTCAGGTCTAGCTTTAAATCGAGACTTCAATATTTCACACGAGATGAGTTTCAATTCGTTGAGACGAGCCTCGTCAATTGACGGTTACATTGGGCCGTCACAGACGGTTACATTCTTGTAAGATTTTTCACAGTCGAATGTGGAATCGATCGCGTTGGTCAGCGAGCGTCTTCGTCGAGCGGTTTCGTCGTTCTCTCGCTGTCGGCCCCTTCATTTCCAACGTTTCGCAACGCTCAAGGGCGAATTAACATTCCTACAAGTTCTATATCCGGGCGACGAGGGAGTCATCTATTTATACATAGCTTGCATCCGAAAACTACTAATGGGATTCCTGGGTAACCGGCCTGGAAGAATAATAAATTCGGCCTTTCGTGCCGGCACTACGCCAACGTCGCGCGGCTCTCGCGCTTCTAATGCGGATAAACAAGCTCGGGAGTCGAATAGAATTATTATACTGTGCGTCTTAATATGTTTTACCGGCTAGGCGGATTGATTAATTGTGACAGTCAGCTTCACTCGACGATCACTCCCCTCCCTCCCGCTCCCTTTGCACAACGTATCTATCTATTTCCCCCTTATTCCAACCCCTTTCCTCTGATCACATAACAGTTCCAACTTGTCGGGACTCTTTCAGATCATTCAGATATATTGCCGCTAATACTTGGAAACAATATTCCAGCAAACATACGTAACATTCTGATTCTTATTCAGGTCTCAGTCTTTTCATCTTTCTTCTCGAAACTACGTAAGGTATGTGAGATAAAAGTTTTCGACACGTACTTAACTTTGGACATTCTTGTTCTTCGGGTCTTTAAATATGAATATTCACATTTTCAACAACGTATATACATAGTTTCGATCATTAACAGCTCGAAATTTCGCGCGTCGCCTGTAACAGGTAAGGCATGCAAAATAGTACAGGATTTTTTTTATTCACCTCCCTACGTCCTCACGCGAAGTTTGCGAGTGTATATATTAACTTGAGAAATATATTCATGTTCATGCGCTTTGGAGACTTGTTCCAGAACGCCAACCAATGTTCCCTTTCTTTCCTCTCTCCCTCTCTTTCCTCTTCCCCCTCTCTCTCTCCCGCTCTCGATCGATCGAAGTCTCATGTACCGAGCTGGTTTCTTTTTTTTTTTTTTTTAAACGAAGCGATGGGGAATTAGATGCGACATATAAATAGAATCATTGGAATTCCAGATACCGACAACGAGCCCGGCCTTGTGTCTCATTCGTGTGCTTGAACGCGTTTCGCGCGTGTCTTTCCGCTTGTAAATCCAATCCGATTACCAACAGATGACGCGTCGTAATGCGTCGCGGACCTGCGGTACCGCGTCTCCGTCTCGCGTAAGAATATCCCCCCCCCCCCC